ATAGACGTCTTACTAGTTATAAAAGGATTAAAAATATACATCTGTCAGGAGAATAATAATTTTGATGGAGACAAATTGTTTCTGGTAATAATTAGCAATCAAAAGTTTCTCAATATTCCTCTGGTAGTCAATCTGACAATCAACAATTAATTAATTAATCAATCCACATTAATTAGTCAATCCACAATTCCCTATGGTTCAGTGGAATGAGAACGTTCATGAGTCACCAGTTCGTTGTGTCTGGCGTGGTGGTTATCTTTAAAAAAAAATTGTTCATTCATTTTATACCGTAGAATATTCAAGATAGTGAATTCACTAACTTCGTGATAGCGCATACCCATAATTGCGTGTTAACTATCAAGGAGCAGTTAGCACGATTCAGAATTCATTAATGCAAATGTATGCAAGACTCGGGATGACAACGGAATTCTCTTTTCTCATAAGACGGTCATTGTCGCTTTTTCTCCCAAGTTTCGTGTCACGGATACGTGCTCATATTCGCCTTCTGCTTCATCGAATCGACACCAGCCGAATTCAGAAAAGGATTGTCTTATTTCGCGCAGAAGCTGAGGGCTGCACTTGACACAATTAATATCGACCTGTGTTTCTATTTTTACTAGTTTTCCCTGCCCTTCTCTTTTGTCAACCGTTTTGTGTACCTTCAAAAACCTACCGGCGGACCTTTCTCGTATTTCTGTTTTTCTCCTCTATCTGAACAAGTTTCCGTGAAAGTTTTACAAAAGACTTACCGCCGCGCCGCTTTGAAGTGACGTTCCATATACCGGTAAACTTTAGGACAATCTTTTTACAACGGAATTTTCATGTATTGTCAGGAAATTTGATTTCTAACTGGGGAGTTTGAAGATTCTATTCTTTTCTTCTCTTGTAGAATCTGAGAATTCAACTTTTGTTTGGAAATTTAACATATACCTTGCCTTGTGTTATAAAACATAAAATGCAAATGATTTATATTATACCGTGATGCTTAACCCCTGAACAGCGGAATCTGGATAAATTAAAATTTAGACTTACAAAAAATATACGAATATATTAACTTAAAGTTAAATGTGTAATTTTGAAAGGATATTATACTTACAAACTACTCTAATTATTATACATTTATAAAAAGTTAGGAAATAATTATTATTTCATAATATAACTTTCAATTCTACGTAGTATACCACAAAATTTGGCAATTTTAAAGGAGAAAATCGGTGCAGAAGTCGATATTATTTTTTCGTGTTTTTTTTCAATATTCTTATTTTATTAATGTAAAATTATTGATTCTAAAATAGTGATCTCCAAGAGAGACGCGCCGTAGAAGAATATGAAACTCCATTTCAAAAGTTTAATCAGTCATCACGTGAAACTTTCCCTTTAAAACTCTCCACAGAATTTCCTCCCCTTTTCGCCAATCTACAATGTGTTTTTCAAATCTCACATATGGTTATTGAACTAGTTATTCATCGGCGACTTTTTAATTTCCCTTCTTCTCGAGGCCCCATTCTTTTCCACGGAAATTCAAGATTAAAGGGAATAGTCGGAAACGAAACCTCTCTTACCTGCGAACCGTCACATCTTCATAGTTGCAATTTCTTTCATATATCCGCTCCAGCTAGCAGGCAATGGAGATGAGTCCTTTATATTTGCTTGAATATCCCCAAACGGAAATGATAAATGATGACGAAGTTGTCAGCATAGCTGGAACAAATATTGGAAAAATGTTACATTGAGTTTGCAATCTTCGTAACATTAAATAAATGTCTAGTGTTTAATGCGACCTTTTGTTATTAAATTGTATTTATATTGATGAAAAATGTTCACAGTACCTATGTATTTTCTAAATCATGAATTACCATCAGTTGGGGGGAGGGGGACACATTGTACCCATTGTCAAAAAATAACAATATCTAGAAAATTAATGCAACATTGCAACAGTTTTGTAAGTCCAATACAAAATTAGATGCATAAAATATAACATGAGGGACAAAAATTATCCGCTCTTCTCTTGGGATTGCGAGGGTTATTTACAGAAGTGGCTCGTGGCTTGAAGTCATGGGGGTGTTACAATTTTTTATGCATACATACACATTGAAAACACAATGTTTACATGTTTGGAAAAAATATTAAAATTATGGTAAAAATTAAAAAAAAATTGAATATGAAAAATATTGTTTATTACTGATGAAATCATACACCTCGGTATAATATAACGAGAATAATTGAGGATGCTGCAGTTGCGCAACGCCTATGCACAAGCCGCTTCTGGTTAATTAATTAGCTAATTAATCTCGCTAACCCTGTTTTATATACAGATCCTTCTGTTTATATTTGGAATAATAATTTATTACACCTCAATATTTAAGTTTCGAGTAATATGTAGTCTCGGAGAGAATTTTGTAGTTTCAAAGAAGGTTAATTTTATAAGATAGAATATGGGGATACTAAAGATCTTTAGAAATGTAGGTCGTCAAACAATTTACGTGATTGTACCGTGAAAGTTGCCATTACACGGCTCATGTTCACGGATGATATATATTTGTAAGCTTCTTTTACCGTCACTGTGTTTTTATCTTCATTTTCTTGTTGGATAAGTTAAGTGAGCTTCACGCTATTAGTTCGCGACCTTAGGTGTGAACTAGCAAAGTTATGCGTGTATGTAGCACAAGGGAAACTAGAAACTGGATCAAAGAGTAATGCAAATATAATGAGGACGTCATAAAATATGTTCAAAATTAGAAAACGTAATTAAAAAGTGGCATTTAGCAGAAATCAAGTTATACGTATATTTGGCTAATTGTGATTGAATTCGGACCTTTTTTAATTACTAATTTTTAAAGTAAAATTCACTGTTTATTATCAATTGGTTATTTTTTTATAGTGTTCCAATCATTTATATTAGTACTCTTCAAGCTGTTTTTAATTATTGAATTACATTATTACTTAATCGTAGAAAGACCAAGGGAGAAGCAAATTATAGAGCAAATTTTTTAAAGAATTCTGTTAGAAATTTTTGTATAATAAAATGATAATTTTTTAATATTTTCAACATAATTTTTAAATGTTTATAAAGTAAATTGCATTTTACATTAAACTTTAATTAACTGGATTAAGTAGTATATTCTAGATCCCACCGAGGGTAAAATTAACCCCCGGCGGGTAGATGGTTTGACTAATATACATACATGGTGGATGGTTCAGTGCTTTGGTTCACTTGTACCCGTGTAAATCGAGCTTTATGCTTCTTCTTACATCGTTGTTGTCGGTAGCTCTCAAGAAGGTACTCTTATGTAGGTAAAGTAGAAAGTACTTGACCCTTGATGTGCGGGAAAAGTAAATTTGATACCCCTTATTTATTCTCTTTCAACAGAAATGCTTTATTATTCTCTGTCAAAGGGTTTAATTGCACCTATTTTGGCATATGTTATTTCTCGAAGGAGTTGTTTGTGGGTCAACAAGGTACACGTTGAAATAGATAACATGTATATGCTGAGAACTCTTCTTCATCTTCCTGCTTTATCGACCGGTTTCCTAGAATTTGTAAGCATTTCAGCTTTCAACCTCTCACCCTTCTAACACCGACGAGAGATCGTCTTTCGTCGGTGTTTCTAGTCAATATTTTGTTACAATGCATCTGCTTCACTCCAGAGTGCGCTGCTTGACTTTGCTAAATTCAATTTAATGACCACAATCTTTTGGCATAATTTAATCGGACAATTAGTGACATGTAGGGAACATTAAATAAATATTCAATATCTGATATTTCACTCAGTTAAGACTTAGAATAAGTGTTGTGTAAATTTAATTTCTAGGTGATAGATTTGTTGGTGTATTTTTACGATATTTGTCATTTTCAGTAGAATCTGTAATTTTTTAAGTGTAGGTATTCTCAAGTTACTTACTTTCAATTGAGAGAATCAAGAAAGGCATCTAGGGCGAGTCTTTTATTTTCGCACCCAAAGAACAAAGTTGAGTTTAGGACCCTTTGTTTCCTGCACTTCCTTTTAACTAATTATAAAGGAAACCTAAATTATACGCTGTAGTACATAACTCGGTAGTCTAACGATAGTCGCGTATCGTAAGGGGTGGACCACGTGGCGTAATGAAAGTTCGAGCTTTCCGCGCTTTATCCGCCTGGAGAGCGCAAGTTCGCTACGCAAGTTTAGGTTTGGCCCAGCGTGAATCGATGCTGTATTCCATCCATTCATTGCGTTTCACTCTTCTGAAATACCGAATTACTATAACGGAGACCCTCGGTTTCTTATCATTTCTCTTCACCGATATATCAAACTTAATCCGATCATCCAATCAATGAACACTCGTTTAATTAAAATAACAAAAACCCAGTTGCTTGATAAAGATTCATTCTCATTCTCAATCCCTCCCTTTCGTTACCCTGGATTACACATCCCCTATATATTCCTGAAACAAAATACAGTTAATTCCAACGTTAAGTTCTTACCCCAAAAAAGTACTATAAAAAAACATTATGCAAATCCCAAAAAACGTTCCCCATCCAGGTGCTCGTAAAAACTTTGTGTCCCGCGAGAAGATCCTCGATCCCTCGGGCAGGATTCAAGTGTCACGAGGAGGGTAAAACGATCGAAAAACACTGTTCGATCCTCGTTTATCTTAGCGAATATCGGGATCATTTATCACGATCGCATGATCTTGAGACCGATATGTGGGATCCGATGTGGATGACGAGGTACGGGAAAAGCGGTGCGAAGCATCCGGTGGCGCAGTCGCCTTGACAACGACGGCGCCACGTGCATGTGTGCGCCGTATCGTCACGTATCCGTTGTACGTTGGACAGAGAGGAATCGGGGGTTGAAGAGAGAGCCAGGGATGGCCGGTTGACAGGACGAGAGGGAGGAAGGAAGAGAGAGGAACGGTGTAGCGTGGATAAGGAGGGAGCGAAAGAGAGGGGTGGAATGTTGGCGATTCGGAGAGCAAGGGGTGGTAAAGCACGAGAGGAAACTGCTACGATGTACCGCAGTACGGGGTGGTGAGCTGCGAGCTGGCTGTTCGCTGAGTGGAAAACCAGTGGACAAGAGAACAATCTGACAGAACTTTCAGTGACACGTTATCTACGAGCCGATCGTTCGGCCTTATTACCATCCGCCATTTCCACTGGAAGAAAATCCCGCCTGAATTTTTCACCAGTTTCCTCTTGCAACGCGGTCTCGATTCAAGGACAGCCGACTTTTCCCGCAGTCGAGAGGATGGCCAATTTCGTTGGGCAAACACCATTGTGACGTGCTCGGTTTACGATTCACTAATGCTATGGGGTTGTCATAACACTCGGTTATGTCAAGGCCGATGCGGTAACAACGTCGATACGTTTCACCGGTTAAACGTTCAACCGTTGGTAACTTGGAAAATCGTCAAAGTTTCGGGAGACACGGAACGCATTCACGAAAATTTGTCAGACGCTCAACGAACCGTGAAATTGCCTCGAACAGCAGATCAGCTGATTTCTATCTGAGGATAAGAACGTGAAAGGTGGTCGTGTACGATCACGAATACTTTAACCGTACATCGTGTCATTTTGTTCGCTCGTTCAATTGAAACGAAAGATTGAATGCCTGAATTCTTGCGTTCGTTACGTTGCATCGATTAACCCGGACAATGAGAGTTTCTGCATCGGAACGATGAATACCGAATCGGATGAGGACGAGATAGAGAATAACGACGTATCGTCATTGGATGTTCATCGAGTTAATAGCTGGATTAGCTTGTCTCGTGTGTTGGTTAAAGTGTACACTTGTTATGATTCTGTGTGATGTTTATCAACGTGTACGAGGGGGCTATTGCGATAGAAATAAATTAATATTTGGAGAACATCTCGAGAACACTCACGGTACACGATAAGTTCTGAATAAGAAGGAAAAGAATATTTATGATGATAATGAAAATGAGGGATTCGTTGAAAATTGAATGCATCGAAAATGCTTCGCAACTTGTCGCAATATTAAGACGTTTTAACCAGATCAACAAATAACATCGCAACCCTGACCTTCGACACTCGTCATCACGTGACTGTATGTAGGGTAATCGAAATTCTGTCGTAACGAGAAACTACAAATTGTCGCCGTCTGGGAAGCCGCTCGTTAAAACCGCAGCGATCCATTAAATCGCCCCTGAAAACGTCAAAGCGATCCATTTGTTTGTTTATTTACGACGTGTTTACGAATGCTTCCTGCCGACTCGTCGATACGTGCACGATAGTCCTTCGACAACACGGAATCACGGCGTTTTGCTGCAAATGGGATAATGATCATTTTGTTTGCTTGAAACTAACGCGGAGGGAAAAGAGGAAACAATGGAAGGATGCGAAGCGTTTTGGTATCGAGTGTCATTGAGGTATAATGTTTATCGATATGGCCATTATCAGAAGGACCAACGTTATTTGACATCGATCGACAGATATTCAACAGACTTTTCATAAAAGTTAAGTTTTCAAAGATTATTGTTAAATACATAGATAATAGAATTCAGGGAGTAGATGGTAATTTTGTGATCGTTGTTGAAGAACTGCACATGATAGTTACGCTAGATTTGTTTGTTGATAATTCTGATACACTCGAGGTGTCGAGCATCGTTTTTGAACAATTTTCCTTACTTTGATATTGTAATAAAAGAAGAAAAACCGCTAGAATTGTTGTTTTCGTTATTATTCGAACGTTGCACTTGTTAACCGAAGTCACTTGCAAGAAGCTTTTGAAAAACACGATTTTATTAACCTTTGAGCAGCGGAGCTTGGGTCAATCGTGACCCAAACTCACAAAATATACACAATGATATTTACTTAAAGTTAAGGGGATAATTTTTAAACAAAAGAGTTTCATATATTGGAACCATAATTTTTGAAAGAATAGTATGCAAAATTATATTAAAATTGTCGCTCTCTTTATAGTCCGCCGACTGAGGGTTAACTAGTTTTAAACGGAAGTCTGTTTAAAGAGATTTTCACGCCTCATCGAATAGCACTTCGAGACAAATAATTATTCATTTCGCACGCTTCGTTGCAATTATTTTACCTTTTAATTAACTAACTGTTAATATTGTGGATACGTAGAAACTTTACTATTGAAACATTTTCAAAATAATAATTACTTCAGTTCGAGAGTTTTGAAGATTCGAATACGATTCATTTGATTTTTCATCGGAAATAACGATTCTCACTAATGACGACACTCTGTGGAGCGAAGTGAGACTCGGTTCTAAGGACATAACACTCGACCATCAAAAGGGATAACCATCAAATTTAATGCACCAGTCTTATCGATTGGAGATTACGCTAATACTCTGGAACAAGTATAAAGTGGTGCAGAATCGATCACGGTATCTCCACTCTCCATAGAAGGATTGTTACTAAATAATCACGAGTGCGTGAAATCCGAATTATCGAATTTATCCTAAAAAAAAAGAAAACAGAAACCTGATATTCAATCACAATGGAAAAAGATCGCACGTGGTTCGATTGGTTTCACCGTTCCAGAATGACCAGCAAGTTGTTGAAGTACAATGTTCGGACGCTTCGCGTTCCCACTACGTAAGGATCATGAGGCGATCAATCGAGGTGATAATGATGTCATCGGAGGGACATCGTAGATCGATTCGTTCGCGGACAATTATTTAAATTATTCCACGCAACAAAGTGAAGTTTCTGTCGAGAAAAAAGGAGCAAAGGGCGAACGAGTCGCCCGTTCGTCAGCTGCTCGCCCTGTTTCACCAGCGTAAGCCTCGGGATCCTCTGCGAGGGCAAAACGCTGCCTCGTCGGTGCCCCTGCTCGAGATGGGAGCCAGAGCATGGGACTACGAGGCACTGCCGGAACTTCACACCTCGGTGGCCGTCACACCGTCGTCCACGCCACCGAACGCTCAACAGAAGATTCACTCGCCGAGGGTCTACTTCCAGCCGGAGAATCTGGCATCGACTAGGAGACGAAGCAGCTCCAGGCTACTCGCGCCACAAACCTCCTGCAGGAGACGCAGCCGAAGCATGAGCGCCTGGAGCGACCTGTCGAGGTCCTCGTTCAAGCTCGACGAAAGGTAGGTCGTTGCTCCCCCTTCTGAAGCATCGTGTTTTTGTAGTTTGCAAAAGCTTTTAGAGGATGTTGTGTCCCGGATGACACTGCTTTCAACTTTAGTTTGAACGAAAGGTTATCGAGTTATGGAGTCTCCATTAGCGGATGGTTCTTAAGAATATTCTTTCGGCGTTCATTTTGCGAAAGGAAAGGAGAATTATTTAATTTGTTTAAGAGGACAGGGAAGTGCAGAGGCGTGAAGCATACCCCTGGTAGCAATATTCTAAATAGTTTTTTAAAATGTTGTTAAATAACCTTCCTACGTTTTATCGCTTATTATTTAAAAAAGAAAAAAGATACCTTCAAGATTGTTACAATAATATAAACTTCTGGAAGAATCTAATAATCTGAGGGTTTATTTAAAATCTACGAGATTCAGGATTGTTTTTACGAATCAATTTATATCACGAAAAGTTCTTTTCACGTAGGACGAATAATTTATCTTCCTCAAGTTCAATCCCTAGCTTCCTAATCGCATTACGTCTTCAGGAGGATTGTGTTTTCCTAGTCATCTTAAGGATTTAATAAATTGAATTTTAGTATTATTTCTGTAGTTTTGTCGATTCAATTTTGTTTTTCCATGGATTTTCCAAAAATCAATATATTTTAACTTAAATATTTGATAAAAGCATTTAGTATTTCATATTTTTTACAAATAAATTATTTCAAGATTTAAAGAAATATAACATGTTTCATTGTCATGAAGTGAAATTATAAGCTAGGAGAATCGTAGGGTCGAACCATTAATCTAATAAATCATTCCAAATCATTTAATAATAAACCGATATGGTATCAATGTTCATAAATCAAAGAGATTGTTCTTATATGTATGCAGTTATTTGCCCATGGAACGTGTCGTCTGTATTTAACCCAGTTTCAACAAACCCATATAAATCGTGTCGCAGCAAGTGTACGTAAAATTTCGGTTTTATAGAATACATATAGGTATATCAGCACCGTTACGGTGAACGACATAGCATCAAGATGTTGGTAGTGTAACGTGATGAGAAAAAGCAATCAGAGAAGACGAATAGCTTTTCTATGTGTCAATGAGTATTTATCGTCGAAATTTGAATAAATTCTTCGGGAGAAGAATGCGAAAGATTTCTGTCATTACAAATAATTGCTAAACGGAAGATGACAAGAAAAAATATACGAAAGGTACATTTTTTCCCATATCTATAGATATGGGATCCTTTTTCCTATATTTGCATCCTTTTCGTGGACATTTATTAGGACAGGTGAGTGTTCGGGGAATTCTAGGGCCTAACATCGTAATTTTCTCTGGGTAAGAGTACCATTTTCGATACTATACGGTTATTGAATAATAAAATATTAAAATTGTTGTACTGTATATTGCACAAACCTCTTGCATATCATTAGGGATACATGTACTACTAGTTGAGAACCATCGGTTTAGTAATTTTAGATGGTGAAAATTTATGACCACCCTGCATGTCCTACATAAAAACTCTCAACATTATTATACCTTACACGATGCTGCTTCGGTGTGTATTATTCTACGTGATATATGTTTTATCATATCAGAGGAAACAGAAAAATACATTAAAAATTAAGTGCGGGCAGGATAATAAAATTTTAACGTTACGACCTTCTACTCAATTTTATTATGTAATAAAATACCGTTTAAACCCTTTATGCAGAAGGAAATTTAATAATAACAGTATTGATTGAAATAATTGACCATAAAATATATATTCGCGTTATTATAGGTTTACCACAAGAACTTGTTCTTTTTTATTTATTCCTATAATAAGTTATTTATTGACTTTTCGCGCAGGAATAATAAAATAATTTTCTAGCGATGTATTCAAACGGTAGATTTAATTTATGGGTGTTATTCGCTGAATTTATTGTCACGACACTGCTGACCTATTCTACTTTTCGGATTATGCTGCCCAGTTTCAATTTCTTCTTCTTCTGAAATCAATATCCTATTTTGTATATTTTTGAACCTTTCCCTACCCTCGATGAAAATAGCTACTTGTTTCTAATACCATGTTGTTTAATCACAGAATGATACGGCCTTTAATTACTTGTGAACTCTTTAAGAGTGATCGGAACGTACAATTGAAAACGCATCGAAAACCGATAATGGCTAGGGCTGTGCAATATTGAGGAACAGTAGGGGGAGTCCCCCTAGCAGCGCACATTTAAACTTTTCTTAAAATATTCTTCCTTCTAATTTTATACAATATTGAGACGTATTGAAACCAGCTTATCGTCCCTACTCTTTCTGCAGATGGAATTTGTCGACTTATTTTTAATTGTTTAACAAAATGCTAATGTCCGGCATTAGAGGAACTCCCTCTAATTAAGAAGTTACGTTTCTATTATTAAGTGTGTCAAAATATTATTGGAAAAATGTCGCTATAAACTTTCTACGAATATTATAAAAATTATAATATCAGGATTTCGCAGGATCACCGTTTTCCTCTTTGCCACTCTTTCCCGCTTCTCCTCCCTCCTGCTTTCTACCTGGACATGAAATACTTTTAAACAGAATATCCTTTCAAAATTAGACCAAATGACCTGAGACTTTTTCAGAAGCTATAAAAATTAGTCTACTTAATGATGTGACCAGTAGAGATTTGAGGCTAAATTAATTCAAATTAGTGCTCGTTATGTCGCTGATCTTTCGGGAAAATTTAAGTCTCAGTCCATCTCTGATTATACAGGATATACCAGATTTTTCCTACCAAACGTTATCAGAACATTTTATAAGTATAAATAAAAAATAAATATAGGTTATTTGTAGCTCTTTTAAAAGATTACAACAACTACGGTACATAATTTCTGAATGAAGCTCAGCAATTAGCCAATAACACAGGTGGAAGTTTCATTTAACAACTTTTAACAACTTTAAACAGTAAACACGACTAGTATGAACATACTAGATGTAAATATCACTCATCTGTTTCTATACTTCATAGTAACTGCAAGTTATAAATTTTCATATTTTTTTACAATTATTTAACCAAGTTTTAAGTGAACTGCTCTTATATACAATTTTTTACTTTTTATACTTCATAGAACGTATTCTCTAGGGTTGGCCGGAAAAACTTGATTTAATGGGAAATTAACAAACCACTAGAATTTTTAAGGAAAATTGATCTCATAGAAGTATACGATAAAAATTCTCATTATGGTGGATTTACATGCTCCCACAAGGAACATCCATCAACTCTCTTCTCTCAGTTTTGATGAAACTTTCCTCGCTTAAAGTAAAGCCATAGATAAAATATGTTCATTTTCTCGACAAAGACAAGTTTAAAGAATGAAATCAACGTATAAAACCTTATTCATCGAGGTTACTTTTAAAAATATATTTGAAATTGCAAAGTTGTATGGTATTTCATATATGGAAATAGATAACTTTTTCCCAGAGGTATTCAGTTCTTTCTGCATGCATTTTCTCTGCCTTTTCATCTGTAATAGAACAAAACAATTTAAAGGCATGGCGTTGAAGTTTTTGACATGATTTTTTACTTAAGATGTTTTACTCGATAGCTACGCATAAACTTCATTTGTTTTCCTTCGAAGCGTATCTTTTAGCTTTATGCTATAAGAACAAACATACATAAATTTTCATTTCAGGAAGTACCTTATGGAATACATGTATGTAGCAGTGAGATACTTATGGTGTTAGCTTGAAGCTACTTGATATATTAGGTTGTTATAGATGAAATAAGCTATTTACTCGTAAAACTTTCGGTAACTATAATTGGAAGCTATTTTGGAATACGGTGTTATCCTACAAAAATTGAAAAATTGATAATTTAATGTAACTTACCTTTCAAAACAACAAAGAATCTTCTGATATATAGTTTCATTAAAATTGATTACATTTTAGTTAAAAAAAAATCTAAAAAATAATTGTGAAAAAGCAGTTATAAAAAGCATGGTTTCTAAACAGAAAAAAAGATTTCTTTTTAGTAGGTACGTATGTATTATAGTTGCAACATACCGTAATAAAAGGTACGTTAAATTTTTTTATCTGATCATACATGTACAGATTCTGACAACTGATGATTCTCATTTTACTTTTTTATGCAAGTTCCAGAAATTTCCAAATTAATCTTTATTTTAAGCTTTGTTATATACCATTTGGCCTATTTTTTTTAGTGCTGTTCGATTCTTATTCAGCTTATTTTTCGCTTATTCTTCTGAAACATAAATTTGACCACCACATATTAAGGGTTGATGCTACCCTCTTTCAGGTGTAATTGGGCATGGATGAAATATATCGTTGGATTTAGCACGTGCTCTTGTTAGTCGTATATAAATTTTCTGTCCAGAGAAAACTTTACGAATTGTCGGTTACAAATGAAAGGATAGCCCTTTTTGCCTTTCCGCTCGTTTCATGTACAAACACAAGGTGCGTTTATTTCAATGATTTATTTCTTAATTTATAGAATTCATCATTTGTTAAAATTATCATTTTCCTTGTAAACAAATTTTTTTTATACGAATCTTATAAAATTTGCAAACACAATTTCCCTGAAAACGAAACTGCATATGAAAAAATTCCTTTTCCCTCAAGAGGAATCATTCTCTTTTTGATCGCAACCACTCTTAGTGGAACACTCGGTATAGAACACGAAGCTTTTAGTACATTTGCACCGAAGCACCACATTTCACGCAAAGCGGTTGAATCAAGAGTGTTCTTTGTCATAGTTTTCACGATGCAACGTTAGCAATGCTTTTTCACGAATGGCCTGGTTGCCCACTTTGTTTCTTTTGATATAACATCGATAACGCTCTCCGGAAGAAAGATGTGCTGATTTTTTCTTGAAATTCCTATTGATATCCAACGGCAGTTTTCATTGTCGCACAAGAGACCCCATTTTCTTTGTCCAACCTCCCTGAAGAACATCGTTGATGCGGCACCGAGCCAAAAATAGATGATTTATAGGTAATTACACTGTGCGAGCAACTCGCTGGAAAC